ATCATTTCTGTCCACACTGAAGCCACCCAGTCCCCTGGGGCTTGCAGACACCTGCTCTGCGGTTTGCTCTTGGTGGGGCCGTCCCCTTCATCTGTGCTCTCAGATCCGGCCAACGTCTGAGAGCCCCTGTGACACAAGGTACAGGCCTTACCTGGCCATTAATTCAGCTGAAGTTGGCAGAAGCCTGAAATACCGTTTGTATTATCATCTCTTCCCCTTCGTAGCTGAGCACACCAGAGCCCAGAGAGGTACAGTAATTTGTACAGGCCTCGTTCAGGGACATCAGCCCGGCTTTCCCGCCTCCCTCACTACACTAGATCTGCCTTGATTGGTTCCCGAAAACGCCACCCCCCGGCCCAGCCTCCGCAGTCCCCTCTTGCCTTACTTGCCTACACCTCTCCCTGTTCCCTCTTAGGTGTGTTCCGGGGTGGTCATGACATCCTGGTGCGCTCCCGGCTGCTGCTTCTGGATACAGTGACCCTGCAAGTGACAGCCAGAAGTTCCGAGGAGCTGCCCGTAGACATCATCCTGGCATCCGTGGGCTGAGGGGCCAGCCCGCCCAGGCCCCACTCCTACCCGTTTCCCACCCCCAACACCACGCGGAAGTCTGCGCCTTCCTCACGAAACCGGTGGAAACCCCTTCCCAAGCTTCTGCATTCAAACACAATTAGGAATCATTGCAAAATTTTTTTTTTTTAATTCTAGCCTCCAATCCAGGAGTATTAGGGGGTGACTTTTTTTTTTTTTATTAGCGGATTTTGGCTTGTCCTAAGTCTTGTCCTGCCTGCGAGGGGAAGGGTCGTTCTAAATGAATAAAAACATTGGCACCTCCTCTTTGAGTTTTTCCCCAGAGAAACCATCTTATCCCTGTAATAAATCAGCATGGATTTATTGGATGCAGACTCATGCTTAGGCGGTCTAGCTTCTCCGTGGAGGCCTCCGACCACCAGGTAGAACTCCGGCACCGTCTGTCCCCTTTGCACCCACAGCGCTTCGGTGGTTGTGCTCGCCGTGAGGCAGGACCCTGTGATCACTCACTGTGCAAGCACCAAGCCCAGGGAGGGGAGCAGTGAAGGTTTGTTGAATGAATTACCTAACAGGCTTTGCATTCATGCGTGCTTTGGGTCATTTAACCCGGTGTTACCCGGCGTCAGGTATGATCTGGAGCGTGTCCTGGGGTTTCTGTTCCCAGTTCAGTGAATGACCAGAGTGGA